AAATTTAGAGCTAACAGAACTTAATTCAAGTAAATTATTATTTTATTCAATGTTTGAAAAAATATAATATGTAATAAGTAATAAAATACAAAAAGTAATATAAATTCATAATATAAACAAATAAATATATTGTAATGGAATGAGTAAGTTTGAATCCTTTAGTCAGCAAATGCTTGTCCATTACAAGGAACTAGGTCATCAATAGTGTATAAAAGTGTAAGTGATAGCTAAAACAAGTAAGTGATAAGTCTGAGGTTGTAGTGGTAATATGTGTAAATAAATGAATAATAAATATGTCGTGGTGTTAATAACCAACCACGGTCGTGGCTATTAGAGAGGACATCACAATATATATGATTTCCTAATTTAAAAATAATACAATATAATTTACGCTTAGAAAAAGACACAGAAACTATAACTGTTGTTGTTTTTTCTTTCTTCAGGCGTTGACTAGAATGTCGTAGTCACTCTGAGCAGCGTTGTTCTACTTCTTTCTATATTGCGAAATGGGTCTTCATTGTAATTTCTTCAAAAATAAAAATTGTAATAATAATATTTATTGCAAAAAAAATACCTTTCATGGTATTCATTGTTTTTGTCCCAACCATTCTGGAACGTTCCTACTGAACGAACAAGCTACAGTAAATTCGCTGAATTTTTTTTTTTTTTTTAATACACGCCCCACATTGTTCTTTTTCCCATTACCACCTATCTGGGACGATAGCAGTTCCTGAAATAAGAAAAGAAGAAAATATTTTTATGTGTATATACCGAGTGACTCCGAAATAACTTCGGAAAATAAAACCACAACATCACGAAGTAAAGAAAATTTTAAGTAATTTCTTTTATATAGTCCTAATTCACGGGAAAAAATATCAAGATCTACACCTCATTCAGTGTCATTTGTTTTCAACTAAGCAATACACAGCAAAACAAAGAAAAAATTTAGTCACAATGAAAACTGAATAAATCATGCATCATTGACATTTAACTAGATGTTCCGTATTTGGTTTTTGAAACTGGAGCAGCAATTTAATTACTTTGAATCCGTGTGACAATTAAAGGATTTTTTTTCCTAATCTATTTGGAAGTCACCGCGTATGTATAACATACAGGGTGCTTCACTATAAGACTTTTCTGCAACCCACTATATGTAACGTGTTAAGCGAAATGTGTCATGTTTAGTAGGTTCCTAAAAAGTGTATTACAGGCATCTACCTGTATATAATATCCAATATTATGTTATATGTAAGTACATATAAATTTATTGTATTTTTTTAACTTACAAAGAAACCTGCTTGTTGTAGTGGGCAAAGATAATCTTCTAATTACTCAAAATTTGTTTAGCTGTGGTCTTGGAGGCATATCTTCTATTACTGTTTTCTTTTTGATTTATCAGATTTGATGACGTTTTCATGTTGGAGATTTCTTCACTCGTTTCCTTTAGAATTTCTTTTGGTTCGCACATATTTTTTGTATTTGTTTCAAGTCTAAAGTAAAATTATGTTCATTAGCACCTAGTTCATAAAAAATTGCAGTAACATACCTTTTCAACACTTTATGGCAAAGCGCCTCACTTTCAAAAACAATAACCGTAAGTTCTTCAAAATCAACGGGAGTATATTCAGTGATTAATGGTGATATTTCCAGCTTATCTGAGAAAACTGTTTTTGTTATTTACGTACAGTTATCTAAAACGACAGAAGCATATAAAAATTAAAATGATTACTTCATTAGAATTATATTAACTTACCTAGTGTAAATACAACCCACACTGAATGGCACAATTTTCACAAAACTGCATTACAAAAGAAGTGAGTTACGGATCCACGAGAAAGGTTCGGTGGTTGTGAACCAAATGGCCAAATGGAATTCGAAAGCTTCACTGTCAGTGTGAAGTTAAACATAAATACTGAAAAAAGGGATCGTCCGACTGCACCCCCCAAACATCTGGTGGATAGTAAATGCAGAAGTTGAGCGTTATTTTTTCATTAGATGAAATAAATTTAATAAAATTAAAAATTAACCACTCTCTAATTTTTATGGTACCCATCATCGCTTTATAAACGTCTTTATAAAATCAAAATTCGACGAATGAACCCTTCAAAACCTTGTCCCGTTTCAGGGACAATGGACAAAAATTTTTTATGACTTTGTTTGTGTCGTTGGGTCTTCCCTATATTACCCCAGATGTTCTATTTATAATTTGCCAAGCAGGTACTTACAAAATAACACTTCAAGAGTGAACAAGTTTACAGAAATAAATATTAGAATGAAAAAACTTGTCTTTAGTGTATTTCTAATAAAGCCGTTGTATTTTTCGCTGTGAATATAATTATTAATTAAGCATTACGAACTCACTGACGAAGGCCACTTTTTAAAGAATACGACGACCCACATCTAATTGACCATAAAATCTTTAACAATAAATTTCAAATAATACTATTGTGGTTTTTTTAAATTTAAATAAGGTGTTGTAAAACTATATGTGAATCGCCACATCTGATAAGTTTCTGTTTCTGTCTTCATTGCAGACACTGTATTGACGTGGGCAAAGGATGCCGTACGTGGGATTTTAGGGGCGGAAACGTATACCTGCGTAAATACTGTAAATACAGTGGTGTCCGACGAAGACAAAAACAGAAACATACCTGATGTATTGGTATTACACATACACTCTATTACCGACATTAAAAAAAGTCTACACTATTTTGTCATATCTGCTGCTTTATTATCAGTTTTCAGTTAGCTACATATTGGATATGAAATGAAGTGAATTTTTTGAGAAAATAATAATGAAGATTACATTACCAGTTTATTTTAGAGCACAAGATTACATTGGAAAAATTTAAACATTTGAAAATTTAACGTTAAACAGATATAGCTATAACTGAGTACGTGAGACAATACACAAAACTCGATGATCAATTACTGTTTCGTATTCAAATTATTATTTATCTTCCTTACGATCAAAGTGAAGAAATTATTTAATTCGCTTTTATTTTAAAACGATATCGCTGATCTTGAATTAGATTCGTTTTTTAATTTCGATTTTTTTCTTTGTATTGCTTTTGTAGCCGATCAACATATTTTCCATTAGAATTAATAAAATGATGAAATATATGATTTTATTTTTCGAGCTTATTTCAAAATTCTGTATATGTATAATTGTTCCTTTTTGTCAGTGACGCATAAACAGAGGTTAAAAAATAATGTCTCGTTACTAGTCTTAATTCGTGTTACTTGTTAGATGGGACATTTTTTAATTCTGATCATAAAACTATATGCATTAAGTCCCTTGTTCTGTTTTATAAAGCGCAGGTCGCTTTGGACGCATAAAAATAAAATTATAAATAAATATAATTACATGGAAATATAATACAAAAAAAAAAATTAAGAGCAACTCACTACTGGCGTTATCTCACTTGTGCAAGATTTAAGCCAGGGAAGAAATTTCTTTTTTTTAGACTCAGCATCTTTTGTTTATGAATATACAATATACTATTTACTTGCAACACAAACATAAATAATAAATATAAAATAGAGCGATATAATACTCGATATGTATGTTTTTAAATGTTTTTTGGTGTTGCCCTGTCAAAAACGTTGATTTTCGATTTGACATACCATTTTGTAAATTGAACTGAAAAGCACTTTACATAATTAACTAATAAAAATAAAACATTCCGAAGCATGTATTAATCAGGTATCTAGTAACTACAGTTAACATTACTTATTGGTTACATAACCGTAGTACTCCATTGTGATGTTACAAGGCTTACCTGCCAACTATATCGCTGCGACACAATAATGAGATATCTAGTAAATGCAGTTAACATTAGGTGTTAGTTACATAACAGGAGTACCACAGTGTGATGTTTAAACGTTTATATGTAAGCTATATCGCTGCGACATAATAATGAGATAGCTAGTAAATGTAGTCAACATTACGTGTTGGTTACATAGCATGAGTACTCCATTGTGGTATCATATAGCTTACGTTCCACGTATATCGTTAAGACATAATTATGCGATGTACTCATTGTTCTTTTGTGAGTACGTACCTGTCACGTCAATGTCATCACTGTGTTTACTGGGACGTAGATAATTTAAAAATAATAACTTGCACCTTACACTCTTTATTAATTACTAGCTTTTCGTCCGCGGTTTCGCTCGCGTAGACGCAAGGGCATTTCTACAAAGTTTCCAATAAAAATCCGCATAAAAACATTTTTCCTTATAAGAATTTTGTCACCCTCTTTCATCTTCTTAGAGGTGGAATCTCGAAAAAATCTGAAATACGTGTTTCATTATTTGTGTTGAATAACAAGTTTGAAGTGAAAATTGAAATTTACAATGGAAATATTTTTCCCATTAGCGGTTTGGGCTAGACGTTGATAATTAATAATTATTAATTTATTCAATTATAGTTTAATTTATTCTGCCATTTCAATCAGAAAGAAAGTATGATTGTACTATATCAATGAATTCAGAAAAAAAAGCTGTATTCAAAAATGCATTAATTACATGTATGGTAGTGCCATTTAAAAAATTTCAAGTTGGCCTTGTATATTGGTCTAATGTTATTTAGGACATAACTTCTCTCGTTCCCGAAGTACAACTGAGCGAACAATCTGGTTTTTAATAATAATGAAAGTATTGAGAATATATTATTATAACTTGTTTTCGACAACGCAGGTCAGGTGGGAGTCGATGTAAATAATTTATTTGAAAACAAGCATTGATAACCTTACACCCCTTATCAGTAGTTACTTATTACCTATCATTATTAAACAACGGTATTTCAAGTTAACGATAAAATGAGTGTGGTAGGTTTATTTTGTATGAAATTGGTTTAAAACAATTCTATTTGTACAATTAGTAAAATTGTCTATATTGACAAATGTATGTCTGCTAAACCACTACTAACATAAAACACAAAAACAGTAAAACATTTGCAATTTATTTAACAGGAATATACGACAAAGCAAACTGCAGAGTTTTAGTTATAAACATTATTTTCCTAGAATATGTAAGCACCATTGCATTAATTCCTTTTCTTAAGCGTTACTTTGACACCATTCCCCGATTTTAAAACAGTCTCTGGAGACAACTGCACTTCATGCCTTGGAACAGTTGGTTTTATTTCGAACTGACGGACAATTTTCGAAATGACACTTTTCATTTCCAACATGGCAAATTTTTGCCCTAAAAATTTTAAATGTTGCTATAATTAGGTAGAGTAATTATTAATACAACGCTTACCTATACAATTTCTAGGTCCAGCACTAAATGGAATATTCGAAAAAGGTAACGAATTATTAAAATTCTCGAATCTTTCTGGTTTGAACTCTTCAGGTTCGGGAAAATAATCTGGGTTCCTATGTAAACCGTAAATAAAAATAACAATATTAGTATTCTTTGGAATTACATAACCATCTGAAATTATTTTTTTAATAAACATATATACTAGTCTTCAAAATCTACCAAAATTCATTTCCTCTGTAGTATACCTTCCAATAACGGGAACTGAAGGATACAAACGAAGAGTTTCTTTCAAAACGCATTCCAAATATTTCATCTTTTGTAAATCAGAGTAAGTCGTTTCAGGGTTCTTCCAGTCTTCGAATATTTCTTTCTGTTCTTGAAAAACTTTTTCCTACAGTTTAACAAAAGTGTATTTATTTAAGTTTCCTTCGTGTACTAAAATACCTGGACTTCTGGATGATCAGCTAAACAATACAACGCAAAACAAATTCCAGACGCTGTGGTATCATGACCCTAAAAATCATAATCATTTCTCAAAACATAGACCACAAGTGTGTCGTACCTCAAACATAAAAGTATCGACTTCTTCACGAAGTTCAGAGATACTAAGCACATCATCTTTTTGAGAAAACTTCAAGAGTAGGTCCAAAAAAGCGGTCTTTTTCTCATCATTTCTGACAGGGTTGTCTTTTTTAGAATTGATCACATTCAAAGTAAAACCGTGTAAAATTTTTAAAGCTTTCTGTTGTTTATAGTAGTCTCCCGTCAGCCAATAGAGTTGATCGAAGACTTTGATTGGCGAAAAAGCTCTCTCAATGACAGTTTTACACATATTTCGTACACTTTCAACATAGGCGATGTTTTGACCACTTTGAGCATTTATTTTTGTACCCATGGCGGTTTCTGCAAAATGATTTTAGACAACGGATTTCGATATAAACGGACTCACCACAAATAACATCAAGCGTGTACAATGTGATTAAAATGTCTAAGTCGACTGTAGCGACTTCATCGTATTTTTGTAATTTTTCCATAAGAACATCTCCTGCAGCCTCGAAAACTTCAACGAAATTTTTCAGGATTTCGAAGTGGAAAGCCGGTGTTAAAATTTTCCTGTGTCTCTTCCAGTAGTCACCTAAAATATTATGTTTATTTTTTTATTTTGTTTCTATTTCAGGACTTACCATCGCTTATCAATAATCCGTTTCCGAGCCACTTCTTCAAAAATATGTAATTTTCAGATTTTTTGATTAGCTTCCTGCTATTTAAGATGAATTGGATTAAATTATAATCTTGCGTCACAAGGCCCTTACGGATAGGACAAATGTCGGGTCCGAACCTCAAAGTAACGGTATTCCCGTAACTGAAATTTTTTTTTGCAACATCCAGTATATCTGTAATAGACAGTGTACACGTTGTTCAGTTTTCGATATATAACAGTCATATTTATTTATGTAAACCAAACAAGTAGGGTGTTTCAAAATATCTCAATTAAAAACAAAAATATACATTACGTGTGGTGGAGGTTATGTATAATATGTGCCCCAAAAGGATGTTTCCTGGGGGTTGAGGGAAGCTCTTGTCATTTTTCGTTCGATTTTTCTTCAGAAAAAAGTACAAAAAAACTGCGAAGAACAATGCAGCCACCAGCAACATTTTGCCACACAAACTCGCAAATTAAAATCTTGACATGATAAGGTGTTGAGTACAAGTTTAGATTACGCATTTCGGAACCTGCTATGAAATCTCCAAATTTGTTCACTCAGATAAATTTACTAATCTATTTTCTCTAAAATGATTCGATATTGCACAGATCACGAGCTCCGAGTCTGGAGTTGATGTTTGCAGATTTACCGCGGGATTAATTGTATGTACTTCAAATACAGAAAAAACAATAATATACAATATTAATCACAAAAAAAAATTTTCAATTAAATTTAAAATCAACGATGTAAGTAATACATTTTAAAAAAATGTCTCTAGCAGTAATAGTATGTATATCTAAATAATAATAAAAATGATGGGAATATATTTTTGTAAATTCTCTGTGTTTAAGCAGAATATTTGGGAGTAGAAGTAGATAATTTACCGTGAAAATAAGCACTTACACCTTTGACTTTTATTATCAGTACTTATTTTTATTAAACAACGGTATTACGATTTAACGATAAAACGCGAACCGTTAAGTGAGAATTATCATACCACAATATTCCGCGAAGATAAATTCAGCCATTTTGACAATTATAAAAAATTGGTTGAAAGTTGTTTCGACAAAACTTCCCTTGCTCCTGAAGTACAATGAAACATATCTAGCATTTTCGAATGGGCGCATTCTCAGTGGCGTCCGTCATCGTTTCTCTGTCATAGTGAACTTTTCCTGTACCTGCAATGGGTACCTGTACCGGTTTAGATTACTGCCTAATAGATTCATCCGCATTCGTGCTAGCGTATTGACCAGTTCACTTAATGAGTCAAATTTTTCCATTGCTACTGAATTCAAAAAATTTAGAAAAGAGCTGCAGAATGAGAAAGAATCATGTTAGAAAGAAAAATTTTGAACTTTTTTCTTCGGTGTTAACCAAGCTATGGCCAACACTTTCCGAAAGACCCTGTATATACACCTAAATTTTGATCAAATCGTATCACGTATGTATATTCTAAAGTTACCTTTCAAAACGTCCGTAATATTTTGTAAAGTCTTATAGATCATAATTTCTGTCTAAAATATCAGAATGCTGTCTTCGCCCTAACTGGACTATTTTACTTGGAACTTTGGAAATATTTTTTTGCAAATCCATGTTTTAATAATCAGGCGATTCAGTCGTCCCCTGTATCAATCTTTTCTGACCTGTTCTATGATTTTATTCCTAAATGTCAAATATTTTTTTTATGGTTTACGTGTGTTACCAAACTAATACAAAAATCATGTGTCCGACAATAAAAAAAAAATTGCTACGGAGAAGAATTATTTTTCCTATTTTATTCAAAAATTATCTACAAAAATTTCAATGTTATTGCAAATTTTACAAAAAAATTTCCTGTTTGAGTAAACGACCTTCAGCTAATCTTAAATCCAGAAGGAAACTAGTCTTAACAGAAACAAACATTTTGTGTAACAAACAAAAAAAATTGGTCTAAAGAGTTTAGACAGTACTTCCCTCGCTGTCGGAAACTTGACGACTGCATGCCTATTATGTTTTTTTTTTCTCATTACATTTTTGTAGTGGGAATTTAAAAAAAAATTGTGATGACGTCATCAACATTTTTGCAAGGACACGTATATCAGTTGGGATAGATGTAGTGTAATACTAAGAATAAAATTATTGTGTTCCCAAATTTTCGGGAAAATGAATTGGGTCGTTTTGAATATTGATTTCTTATAATCAATAAAATAACGAAACAATTTACTCACGTATACGGCAACTGAAAATCGTTTATGTATAAACATTCTTAATTTAAGATGACAAGCGTAACAGCATACGTGAGAGTCAAACAAAGAAACTGTAAACAAAACGACCATCGGTTTTATTGCTTCGACTTCCGCTTATTATATAAAACATTGGGTTTTATTTTAATTCTTGATGGTGAAATTCAGAATTGGTTGATTATAAACATGTCTATTTCACATTCGCGGAACCAAGTGAACAAATGCAGGTCTGTAATGTTAAAGTCGATGTAAATAAGCGTGCTACCCTTATGTTTCAACCGAGTTTTTCCTTTAACAAATTTTGTGTCTACCAAATTGGGTTGGTTGGGGTGTAATACTAATAATAAGTGTTGCCTTTAATTTAATCAATAAAATAAATTGACTTCATTAATTTTTTTTAACCACCTATTAAGAAAATCTAAAAAATATGAATGGAATGATAAATCACAAGTACAAACTCATCATATTTTTTGCATTTTAGATAGGATTTATTCAGCAAAATTTAAGGGTGACGTCATCAATTTTTTTAGGAGGGATGAACAAATACATTTTGAACAAAAGTTTACCATGCTTATAATAACTTTAAAATATTCCCAAGATTTCAAAGCATTCGGTTTTGTAATTCCTGATTAAATCGATAAAATAAATTCACGCCTTCATTAATTTTTTTGAGTCACCCTGCATATGCAAATCCAAAAATATGAATGGAATGATAAATCACAAGTACAGACTCATCATATTTTGTACATTTTAGATACGATTTATTCGGCAAACTTTTGAGCTGACGTCATCAGTTTTTTGTAGAAGATAACCAAATATATTTTGACTAAAAATTTATTATGCTCTTTATAACCTTAAAACATCTGCAAGATTTCAAAGCATTCGGTTTTGTAGTTCCTGATTAAATCAATAAAATAAATTTACGCATTCATTAATTTTTTTGAGTCACCCTGTATATGCAATTCGAAAAAATTTGAATGGAATGATAAATCACAAGAAGAGACTCACCATATTTTGTACATTTTAGATAGGATTTATTCAGCAAAATTTTGTGGTGACATCATAAATTTTTTAGGGGGGACGACCAAATACATTTTGATCAAACATTTACCATGCTTATGATAATTTTAAAATATCTTCAAGATTTCGAAGCATTCGGTTTGGTAGTTCCTGAGTAAATCAGTAAAATAAATTTACGCTTTCATTTATTTTCTTGAATCACCCTGTATATGCAAATCCAAAAAATATGAATGGAGTGATAGATCACAAGTACAGACTGATCATATTTTGTGCATTTTAGATATGATTTATTCGGCAAATTTTCGAGCTGACGTCATCAAGTTTTTGGAGGGGATAAGCAAATATATTTTGACTAAACATTTATTATGCTCTTTATAACCTTAAAACATCTGCAAGATGTCAGAGCATTCCGTTTTGTAGTTCCTGATTAAATCAATAAAATATATTTTCGCATTCATTAATTTTTTTGAGTCACTCTGTATATACAAATCCAAAAAATATGAATGGAGTGATAAATGACAAGTACAGGCTCATCATATTTTGTACATTTTAGATATGATTTATTCGGCAAACTTTCGAGCTGACGTCATCAAGTTTTTGGAGGGGATAAGCAAATATATTTTGACTAAACATTTATTATGCTCTTTATAACCTTAAAACATCTGCAAGATGTCAGAGCATTCCGTTTTGTAGTTCCTGATTAAATCAATAAAATATATTTGCGCATTCATAATTTTTTTTGAGTCACTCTGTATATGCAAATCCAAAAAATATGAATGGAGTGATAAATGACAAGTACAGGCTCATCATATTTTGTACATTTTAGATATGATTTATTCGGCAAACTTTCGAGCTGACGTCATCAAGTTTTTGGAGGGGATAAGCAAATATATTTTGACTAAACATTTATTATGCTCTTTATGACCTTAAAACATCTGCAAGATTTCAGAGCATTCGGTTTTGTAGTTCCTGATTAAATCAATAAAATATATTTACGCATTCATTAATTTTTTTGAGTCACCCTGTATATGCAAATCCAAAAAATATGAATGGAGTGATAGATCACAAGTACAGACTCATCATATTTTGTACATTTCAGATATGATTTATTCCACAAACTTTTGAGCTGACGTCATCAAGTTTTTGGAAGGGATAAGCAAATATTTTTTGACTAAAGATTTATGATGCTCTTTATAGCCTTAAAACATCTGCAACATTTCAAAGCATTCTGGTTAGCAGATTAAAAATTAAATTTCAAAATGTTGTTTTATAATTTTGATTTTTTTTCCAAAAATCTGGACGTTTCGGGTGAAAAGTCGATTCAGAGTTGTAAACTACATGTGTAGGACTATGTTATTTTATACAATTGAAAACCCATTTACTATGTACAATTTTGAAGTGACGTCATCGCTTTAGTGGTGGGGATGATTCGAAAAATTTTGGTTAGCGTTTTACCATCTACATGATATTCTTAATATAAGTACAAAATTTCACAACAATCGGTCGAGTACTTTCGAAGATTATCTGTCTAATAAAAATCCGGGACAACAGACGGACAGACGGACAGACGGACGGACAGACGGACAGACGGACAGACGGACGGACAGACGGACAGACGGACGGACAGACGGACAGACGGACGGACAGACGGACAGACGGACAGACGGACAGACGGACAGACAGACGGAAACGGGAGACCTATTTCTTCGTCTTCTAGGGGTCATGAAAGATCGAGAAAACGTAAAAGTAGAGAGTCGGCCGACGGACTCGATTACAATACTTCCTTTGCTTACGCTCGGGAAGTAAAATGATTGAATAAATAAACGATCTATAGTTACATCCACTAATTCTAAGTTATCGCAAAAAAATGGTGATCAAATTAAAACAAGTCGCATTTAACAAAAAATAAAATATTAATTCGGGTATTTAAAATGAGTTACAAAAGCAAATTATATTTTTCTCAAAATTTTCGATTGTAAATTTACACATTTGATCGCTTAAAACACTTTTTGAAAACGTGCGTCCCACATCACAAGAAGTGATGGGTGCAAAATTAAATATTGAACAATCTATATACGTTTTCATTTACATATGTATTGTTGGTAGCATTTCCATTACCGCAAATTACGTTATTTACTGAACATATAAAATCGTATCTTGGATTCTTTTTTAATAGAGAACATAATTTTTGGAATGCCATTTCCCCCACCTTTCCTGGTGTGTTTTTTAAAGATGTATACACTTTTTTTACAATTTCCATAATTTGATTTAATTTTAAACCTATAGTTTCTAATTGTTCTATTGCATCAGCAATAATTTTAAAGTGAGTTTTAATGTACAAGAGTACATTTTTAACGTTTGCTTTATTCAGGATTTCTTGAGCTTTTGTAATGTTTTGTGCATATGTGGTTTTAAATGACATTACAACCAAAAAATATTCAATATAAGAATGATAGTAAAAAACCATTATATATTTACTGACTTGTTTTAAAACATCAAAATGTTCTGCATAAAACAATGCTGCTTGAATCCAAGTGCCCCACCTGGTTAATACAGGTTCAGGTGGGAGAGGTGTATTTGGTAAACTCTTTTTATAAAACTCTATTCTTATTAGTGCTTTTAAAAACATTTTCTTAACATCACTAATTACCCCATTGACATCTGGATAATTGAATCTAATTATTTCAGACACTAAATGTATCCCATGTACCATACATGTCAAATGTGTTATATTTTCATAAAACACCTTTAAATTAGTACCAGTTTTGATCATGTATGAAGCACCA